TTGGTGATTGTCTCCAGCTCCGATCACGGTGATTGTGAGGGGTCTTGTGCCTTCCCCGACGGAGCGCCAAAAGGTAACTCTAGTGGATTGCTCGTGTCATTGAGTTACCTCACTTGTGGGTAGGTTCTTACGGTGTCCTATTGTGTGGACGAAGTTCGTGCAACACCTATTAGCCGTCGAACCATCAAGTGTTGGTCGACACAACGGGGCTAGGGTGCCGGCAAGCACGTGAACCTCGGGAGAAAAATTGATTGTCTCTTGCCTTTTGGTATTCTCCCGGTGATTGATTTAGTGTTCATCTTGTGATTGGTTCACTCCTCTACACGGCGGTATAATCACCATGTCCAAACTAGTTGTAGCAAACTCTTTAGTGTAGCTAGAATTGAGAGCTTGCTTTGTAGTTTAAGTTCATCTAGTGAAGCTCTTTAGTGTAGCAAGTGTGAGAGCTCTTAGTAAGTAGTGACTTAGCAAATTGTGTGTCTAGTGATCATAGTAACTAGAATTGTTGGATAGGTGGCTTACAATCCTTGTAGAGCTAGAGCAAATTTATATTTCGCTATTTATTATACTAATTAAATTGCTCTAATTGATTTGTAGATTTTTAAATAGGCTATTTACCCCCTCTCTAATAATATTAGGACCTTTCAGTAGGATAGAAATGATTGGACTACCCCTCATCGGAGGTAGGGACAGATTCTGATGGCAGCAAATCAAGGGTAGCTAGTCCATAATTGTGTGTCATGGGTGTCTACTCTCTCTGTCCTATAATATAGTGTATTTTATGACTTTTATGATAAATTAAGAGAGAACATAAATGACGTATGTATCATTGTTTTATTTTCTAATTAAACGCTATCATGAACATGATTAGTAGTGATTAGTTGATAAATGGAAAGTATTTAATACAAAAATATATTTTGTCCTCTAGAATAATGCATTATATTTAAGGACAAATTTTGAATGTTAAAATACACTATATTACATGACAGAGGGAGTAGAGGTGTAAATGGTACAAATAGGAGTAGTATTTCCCAACTGATCGTCCGAAGGGCTACAGATACTTAAATGAATAATCCATATCTGGATACGGACATTCCATATGAAAACGCATCCATATCTGAATAGTTAAAGTTGGAGATATTTCTAGATATAAAAAGGTAGAACGACTTATATAATTAGATATTAAAAGGATGTGACAAACAATATATATAATAAAGTAATTGCAGGTCGAAGCCTCGTCTTCCTATACTAATAAACTAAATACATCTCTACCTAATATTAAACAGCCAAAATCTCAAACTTTTTTTCGTCCACCTCTTCTAATTAACTAATGTAGAAGTTCTCTCTATTAGTCTAGAGCACTCGTACTTTATATTAGTCTAGAGCCCTCGTACTTTATATGACATAAGGTTATATTAGTCAAGAGTCCTATTTTATATGACATATGTAACCTAGATAGCTAGGAATCCTAATTCTAATAGATCTCCGATCATAAATAGCTTGAATATGAATTCTAATATATATCTATATCTATATCTATATATATACATGTATATATATCTATTAATTTATATCTATATATATATATATATATATATATCTATTAATTTATATCTATATCTATACCTCTTATATATGTATACCTGTATATGAGTCTTACGTATATCGTATGTGACCCGGACTCATGATTCTCGATCATACGAATTAGAACAACTCGCATTTAGCAATGATATGAATCCAATTCCTATACATATTGAATTCCGTTGAAACACACAAACACATTTGTACTACCTCTATCCTAAAAGAGTGCAATTCTAGCACAGTGTCACGTTTTTAGTACCTTAAGTTTGGTCAATTATAAATAAAAAAATATCATGTTTATGATACCAAATAAATACCATTAGATTAATTACGAAATGTATTTTCATCATAAATTAGTTTAAAGTCATAAATATGAATATTATTCATTAAAAATTTAGTCAGACGTGAACCACTTTTCGTGGCACGTAACTATAGTTACGTTCTTTTCGGAACGTAGGTAGTAGTATATAATTCCCGCATGTTTGGTCCGGTTTGTTTCCTTCACCTCCTCCGTCTACGAGTCCGCTTCGGCTGTTGGGCGTAGACGTCAGGTCCCGATCCTTTTTTGTTTTCCTTTGGCTCCTCCGTCGTCCTCACGTTTGAGTCCGTATGGAATTTCTTTTGATTTTTCATAAATGTCAAAAAAAATAAATGTGATATTATGAACCTTTCAGTCATTGATCCTTCTATATAATAAACAAAACATTTCACCACTAAATTGTTAACGTAGTTATGATTAGAAAAAACAAATATTTTTTGTTAAAACCTGTATCAACGGATAGTCCACCTAATCAAATGGTTAGATAGTATGAAAACTAAAGATATGGTATATTTATGAGTAAATATTTTCTATAATTAGGAGAAAATATGTCAAGGTCGTTTTTAATTCGATAATGGTTTAATAGGACATTATCATATTATTTAACAACATTAACTTATATTACAAATGTCTCGATTATCATTACCATTACCATTGTCATTTTTTATCAACATATGATAATTTTTCTCCCGCGTCCGGACATATTTGCGAGTCTACATAAATTCAAAGTTTCCTTCCACGGCCCACGTTGACTCGTCAAATACCAGGGTCTCATTCAATTCCGTTGAGCACGTTGCCGTCGCTCCATTGGTTCTGAAAGCTCATGAGAGGGAGAGAGACTCGCTCCATATTTTGGTTCTGAAAGCTCATGAGAGAGAGAGAGAGAGAGAGAGTTTGTTAAGCTATATTATGACTCAAAATTGCTGAGAGAGATCGTTAAGCTACAATAAACTAAAAACGCTGTCAAAGATGTTGATGGCAGTACTACTTCTGAACACACCATTACTGTCAGGGAAGGTAACATGTCAGAAGCAAGGAATAAGGAAGGTTGTTTCCTCTCCCTCTCACGGTATAAATGCAAGAGAGCAATTCGTGCAAGGGCAATCCGACGTACTACGCAGGCACGAAATGAATTCGCCGTGTCACGACGCGGACAGCGACGTGCAGTCTGTTCGTTTCGGCCGAAACCATCGTGAATTATAAGTCAGAAGTATTGCTGGCTGGTTTGGTGTGAGAGAAAAATATTATTCTAGCTTATAATCCACGATCGTATAAGCCAAAACGAACAGGCTGGTGATCTGCTGCACTATCCTATGATACTGCCCTTCCTTAAGAAGCAATCGAGCATTCAAGCTCGGGACGCGTTTGGCGGGGCTCCGACCGACTCCCGTTTTGGCACTGTAGCGTCACTGTGGCTGAGCCCCAAAACCAAGTCTCCGGCAGCTCTGCTCGTTTCCCGTTGTTTTGTGAAGGAGCCGGAGCTGGTTTTTTTGCGTTGCTACAGCGATACACAGTACGTGCAGTGTCTGCCTGCGCGAGCCCGAGCCCTTGGAAGCCGAAACAAACGTGCCCTTAGTAGGGCTTAGCTTAGGCAAACCGCACACTAGCTAAGTAACAGATAATCCATCGAAGGACACGGCCCTCTTAATCCATCGATCATGCAACTAGCGAACAACCAACACGACCATTAACACGGCGTTGACAACCCCTTCCCCCGTGATGGAGACCTCGCGGCAGACGGTGACAGATCGTGGCATCGATCGGGTGGGAGCGGCACACCTCCGAGTCATGGACCACTGGAGACTGGTAATATGGCAATGCTACTGTACTGCCGGAGTCGCAGAAGCCGGCCTAGCATAGGCGGTCCACGGGTTGGTCGTGGTGGTACGGTTGGTGGGGAGGCGGCCGTCGGGCTAAGCACCGTGCCGGGGCCACGGGTTGGTCGTGGTGGTGCTCCTGCTCCTGGCGCCGCTGGTTTCGAAACCGCGGGTTACACGGGTTACACCGCCTGGCGCCGCTGACCTCGTTGGCCTCGTGTCGAGGGTGCGCCCTCGCCCACTGCAGGGCAGCGCCACTCGGCATCGGTTGCCACCAAGACCCAGTGCTCCCCCGCTCCAGCGCCCATGCAGAAGGAAGGACTCCAAGCATGCAGGTGGACAGGTCGATTTTGCACGGACGTCATGAGCAGCAAGGTGAAGTACAGAACGTCAGATGCTCTGTTCGTCGATCGCAGCTCACAAGTAACAATAACATACAGCAAGGTTCATCGCCACGAAACATTGACAGACCTCATGGTGGACCTCGTGCTACCACGGCGTGACAAGATTGGACGCCCGTGAAGTCGGACGCCCTCCTGGCCGGCGATGATGTATAGTGCAGCGCAGCCCCCAGGTGTGCATGCGCTGCCGTCGAGAGTAGCTGCTGCTGCCGGGCCACCACCGCCGGAGCCACCGCTCCGTGGCCGCAGCAGCGCCCTCGCCTTGGCTGCGCTCGATCAAACCGCCTCCCAAATCCTCTACGAGAAGCTCGGCCAAACCCCGCCTCCACACACCTCGGGTTGGTTGAATGGTTTGGAACCGGATTAAAACCAACCCGTAGTAAGATGGTCCTGAGCCTTGCTGGCCGACGGGCGACGGCTGGCAGTTTGGCTCGCTTCTTCTTCGTCCGTCAGCTCTGCTGACCTCCGGACGCAGGCTGTAGCGCCGTCGCAGCAGCCGCAAGTCTCACCTGTTTGTTTGTTACCTGTAGGCTCGGCTGGGCCTCGCCTCGGCCCAGCTAGGAAGCACGGCTCATCAGGCAGGCGCTAGTGCTAGCCAGAATAATGGCCGTCGCCGAGATGCAATAATCGTGAAAAACACACCAGGCCGTCCAGGCTCCTAATTCTTCCAGCTGGAGCAAAATTGTGCAAGCACACACCGAGACGAATGCAAAATTCTCTGAAACTAGTAGATGTTCTGCAAAACTCTCTGAAACTAAAACTAGTAGATGTTCCATACCAGGTGACTGGTCTCTCTGGGGCAAACAAAATCTAACCAAAACTTAGCATAGGATACAGACGGCTTCCGCCGCCATGGGGGAGCCCGGAGCAGCGAGACTGGTATCACTCCTGCACATCTCCGTAGTATCGTCGGAGGACACGAGCAGGAGGTGCTCCTGATCTGAGCTGCTTGCTGTAGCGCCGGTGCTCGTAACTGTCACGGGGTTCACGCCTCGATGGATTGCGGCCGCCGCCGTCGTCGGGCCTGTCGAAACCGCTGCCGCGATGTGCATAGGGATGGTACGCCCGATCAGGGAAGTGCTCATCAAGACCATGAGGCGCCTTTGTTTGCTGCTGATGATGTGCGCCACCGGTGATGGTTTTTTCTTCCGGAGGAATGTGCCGTCCTCCGAATGAACCGTCGTCCCTGCCGCCGTGCGCTCCAGTGGACAACGGCCTGAAACTTGGCGCTTCTCTGTCCCCGTGCTGATACCCACCATTTTTCGGGGGTTCTTGCGCCGCCTGGCTCTGCCGGCCGTGGTACGGATCGTCCCAGCCGTGCGGTCCAGAGGACGACGACGGCCTGAAAGGAGGCGCGTCCTTTTCCCTGCACTGACGACGATCCCAGCCGGTGCCTCGTTCTTGCTCCGGACTCAGCCGGGCACCGGACGAATCACGCCTGACGAACGATGGAGAGGCCGGGCTGTAAGAAGCATAGCCCACCTTTGGCACTTCTGGGCCATGATGAGGCCCATGATGGACCCGCGGCCTTTCTTGGCCCCGGAAGCCCTGCTGCTTCTGCACTGGGCCCTCGTACTGGTACCCGTGGTGCCGCCTCTGCACCCGCCGCCGCCGGCGGCGGTTCTTCGCAGGCGCGCCCGGCTGCCCATCTGCCGCCGGCGCATGCCGTCCACCGTCTTGTTCGTAGTAGTGACGCGGCGGAGGGAGTCCCGAGCGCCCATAGCGACGCGGGGATCCGAATTCCGAGCGACGACGGCTCCCGCTTCGGAATCGGGACGACCCGCCGTCCTCGTCGTAGTCGACGCGACGTTGCTTGGAGATCGCGTCGTCGCAGGAGTAGGGCCTGCGCCGCGACCTGTGGGAGGACGTCGTGTCGCTCGCCGTCGCCGCCCTGGAACAGCGCGGCGCCCAAGTCTCGGGCGACGAATACTGCCGCGCCGCGTCGCCCTGACGGCCAGAGGAAGCCGTGGGCGCGTCGGATGTGTCGACGCGGTACCATGACGGCGGCGGGGGCGGGGGCAGGGGGAGCGGTGGGGGCGGGGGCAGGTCCGCCTCGTCTTCGTCCTCGTCGTCGAGAGAAGACAACGGGGCCTCCAGGTCTAACACCGGAGACGGCAGATGATGATGCGGTGAGGGCACGGGCACGGGCACGGGCACCGGTGCCCGCAGCGGCGCAGGGAGAGGGTCGACCGGCGAGGCCTCCGGCGCCGGCGCTAGCGATCGCGCAGGAAGCGGAACGTGCGCCGTCGTCGGCTCCGGCACCGGCGCAGGCGGCGGCAGCGGATCTTGCTGCGCCGAGGGTTCCGGCACCGGCGCAGGCGGCAGCGGATCTTGCTGCACCGAGGGTTCCGGCACCGGCCCTGCGGACATGCCGTCCACGCCGTCGTTCTCCGGCGGCGGCGGCTCGTTGAGGTCGAAGTCGAAAGGCGGCCCGTGTGGTGCCATCTCGATTCCCTGTTGCCGCTCGGGCGGCGGCGGCGGCGGCGCAGGACGATCGATGTATTGTAGCCCTAACACGAGGGACACGAGAACTCCCTCCTATTCTGAGATTGCACAGGGTTTAGGCTTGCACTTATATTGACGCGCGGACTCCTATTCCGGAAGAAAACCTGACTCTAGTTTCCGGAGCCGCGCGAGATTCCGACTTCCGAGCACAGGTTGCCGACTCGAGCGCAGGTAGTGTGACCAGATTGTGATCGGGAGCACAGGTTTTGAGCAGCATCGAGCCTGAAACGGCAGTTGACAGCGGGCTACAATGCGTCACCGATCCTCATCGTCTAGCGGCACGACCATCTGATCACTCGTCAGGCGGCGACCGTCTGCTAGTGCTACAGGCTACAGCGCTGTATCGGCAAGCAAACGGTTGTTTGGTGTGGCTCCCGCACCGCTCCGGCTCCGGCTCAGGCTCAGGCAGCGGAGCCGCACCAACAACGCAGGCCGGAGGAGCGCATATATAGCGCAGAATGGGAGAGGGGAGCCGATTCTTTGTACGGCAGGCTAAGCTACGATTCTGGGCTCCGGCTCCGGCACTCAAGCTCGCGGAGCGGAGCCCCGTCAAACAGCCCCTAAATAGGTTTGAAAAAAGCAAACAGAAATAGATGCAAAAAAAACTACACACACTTTTAACTATTTCTATTTTCGCATTTGCTCACCGAGAACAAGGAGAACAGAATAAGCAGTAACAAATACGGATGGGCAAATGCGGACAGATTTTCGAGCATGCAGCTGCAGGGATCACGCAAGAGGCGCCGGTCAAGCATCGCTGCCTCACGAAGCGTCGAAGCCGGCCGTAAGCGTCCCAGGTCGTCCGCTCTGGAGTCCACTGTGACAGAAAAACGATTTAACGGCCCATAACAGCTAATAGGTAGCTAGTTAATAAGTCACAGCTGACATTAGCTAGTTTCATTCAACTAATAAAATAGTGGTTAGTTAGATATTCAGCTAACAAATAGATAAACTATTAACTAGACGTGTTTAGATCGAAGGAGCTAATAATTAGCCACTACCTCGTAGGATCTTGAATCCAAACAAAGTCTTAGTTACCTATTCAGCATATTATGAGCTTTATTAGCTAGACCTGATTAGATCAGCTAACTATTAACATCTTGGATCCAAATATGACTTAGAGCATCTCTAGCCGTCCCCAACTTTCCTCATTCCCATAAAATTATCGTATTGGGGAGATAAGTCATTTTTCTTTCTTAAGCATTTCCCTAATAGCTCTCTTTTTTTTTTTGCCACCAAAAAACTCCTCATCTCTCCTCAAATGAAGGGGGAGTTGCATCTCCCCCCAAGAGCCCAGGGCCCACCCCAACTACCAGTCACCAGCCATCCTTTCCCCACGCGATAGTAGGCGTCAGCCGCCAGCCACCGCCCCCGTGCATCCGCAGTCGGTCGCTGCTCCAACGAGCCCCTCCTCGTACTCTCCTCACCGCCTCAGTGAGCCCTTTCCTCGTCAGCCCCCATCGAGCTCCATGCCGCCACCCTCTTCCTGGTGGTTTCAACCTGCTGCCTACATATCAGTGGCGCGATTGTTCGTAGACCTGCTAGATTCTAGGACCAGAAGACTTTGTGGCGTATAACGACTGCATGCGTGATCATGCACAACATGATAATTGAGGAAGCATATCCGTGGCGCGATCGTAGACCTGCTAGATTCTAGGACCAAAAGACTTTGTGCCGCACAACGACTGCATGTGTGATCATGCACAACATGATAATTGAGGATGAGCGAGGACAACCGGAGGACTTCAATCACTGAGTTCACATATGTTCCACCTGTGTGGCCTCAGGGGGATAATGGTCGAATCAACAAATTTTTGGAAGTGCATTGGAAGATTGAGGACCGTGAGGGGCATAACCAACTTCAGGATGACTTAATAGAGCATTCGTGGCAGCTACATGGGTGGCAAGTTTGGTTCTAGTTTGGTTCGTGACCAAACTTGCCACGCCAAAGGTTAATCATGCCAATTTTTTTGGCAGTTGTTTGGTTCACTGCCATAACTATGGCGTGCACACTTTCTTAGTACCATGTCCCATATACATAGACTCGTCATGTCAAACTTTGCCACAAGTGTGGCTTCGATTTTGCTGACCCCTTTCTGTGGCAGTCGCAGTTTGTCGAAGGTTAGGCGTGACAAACTTCGGCACCAACCAAACGGGCATTCATATTATCTATCTACTATTACCATGTCTCGCCACCAATTTTGGAAGTATTCACTGTAATTTGCATATGAACCTTGCACCTAAGCTCTATGTAACTTGTCAGGCTTCTTGTGCATTCTTTTATAGCCTGGTAAATGAATAAGTTGAACTCTTGAATTGAAACTTCCCGTTCACATACTCCTCTGGCTCTTTTCTTTTGTGTTTAACAGTTTGCACGTGAGCACGCTTGTGGTTTCACAAAGATAAAGCTTCAGTTCTGTGCAATTTTGATAGTGTGATTTTTGATCTGTTCACTTGAGGTTTTCTGGGAATAACATTCTGCAGGTTTTCTGAGAATAGCATTCACTCTATTTTCACATGATGGGACGCTTGGTGGCATTCTTTATATTTTCTTTATATTTTAATGCCAATCTAAAATTTTGAATTTAAATTTCAAATTTATTGATTTATGTGCCGTTGAAACATAAAAATATGAACTACTATGATTTGCAAATGGAGTTGTCACGGTGCTTGTATGGAAATGTAGAGAGAAATACAAGAATCGATTATTTGGGACAGGATATTGATAATCTGTTGAAGCATCTCGCCCAACAATCTAAAAAAGATAGGATTGGCGACCACCAATAACATTCCATTAGAGATAAATTATTGAGGGACTGCTAGTGATACTCTTAATGTATCAATCCAGCATATTATAAGCCTTATTAGTGCCCACTGTCTTTCTAAGGCCTTCTTGGAAGATCTTTTTCAAAATTTTGAACTAATATTTGTCGGAAGAACCTTATATTTTAAGGTTGCTATATATAATATTAACTGATAAATTTTATATCAAATCTTGTAAATACGCGATGAATACATGTCTATCTTGCATAAATCAAAATCTCAAATTAAAAAAAACAAATGAAAAACACTCTGTACAGGTACTTCGCGTCCTACCTACTATTTTTTTACAAATACGAAAACGAACAAGATAGATGTAAAATTTGTATTTGTAAAAGAACGTGATTTACTGTTTTCATTCCTGTCTACACGAACATGAAAACGAAGTGGCTCACTGAAATTTGACAGATGTTGATCATGATTTACTGTTTTTTTAAAGGTCACTGGGGGATGAACTATCCCCACCTGAATTTTCATTCCACAGATGTTGGGCAAGTCGGGAGGTGGAAGGGCGTGGCGCCAATCCAGATACAATAAGTCCAGAGAAGTACAATGGGGGAAGGAGAGATTACAACAACAACACCAACAACAACAACAACACTTAACAGAAACAACAATAAGAACCAACACGAGGACTCAATGATAAGCCTAGAATCAAGCCGAAGACGCAAACCAATCGTCGATTTGCGCCACCGCCGAACAACATACTCGTCGGTTACGCCGTGACATTTGTACCCTGCACCACTCCTCGTAGCTACGCCGCTCCGCTGTCGCCCTCCAACAGAGGGCCAACAGTGGAATGTGGACTAAGAGTGGTGACAGACACGCAAGCCCAAGATCATCGGACACAGCGACCTCCCTTAAAGCTGATGGTGACACCTACAGCACTTTCGAGCCCACGTACCACCATTCAACGCCGCCCACAGGGAGGAAACCATGGAGGGGAATGGCAGCAGCGGTGGAAACATCACCCGGCATTTGATCTTCTAGCACCATCAAGGAGAGCGCTGACGGAGCAGAGATGCCAGAGGAGGACACTCGTCGAAGTATCGGCAACGACCGACAGCCAAGGCTAGTCTCACACAAGAGGGGAACAAGGTGCCAAGAGAGATAGGTCTGAGCTAGCATCTCCATGGTGGTGCCTCCAAGAAGGACGCGACGTCGTTGACGCCACCACCACAGCTCTAGATAATTAGAGCTAGGTTTTCACTAGGAGGAGAGGGACAAAGCTACAGCTATAGGGTGGGGAGGCTACATCGACGCCTCCAAGGAGGTAAGCAGTGCTCGAGGGCGTCACCGTCGATCGCACAACCAGATCGTGCACGGCTTTTGTCTAAGCTCCTCAATCCCAGGAATGAACTGTAGTCCGCCGCCACCATCTCAGAACTAATTTGGTGAGCGTAGGCACGACGATACGCCCATAGGCCATGGCCCTCGTGTAGAGTTTTGACTTACCTGACGAGGCAGATCAGGCCCCATCGATCGGAACCGGCCGAGAAGAGCGGCACAGATGGGAAGCCGAAGAATGTTTGCATGCGGGCATGTGGTTGTGCCTTCGTGAGTTGCTGCGACAAGGGACACTTGGGATAGCACCGCCGCCCAAACCGCTGCTGCAGCGTCACGATGGCTTGAACGGCCGGTCAATCACGGCTCGGCCAGGCAGTTCGGCAGCCACATCCACGGGGCTTCGTGCTTCGTGGTGCCGTGGCATGGTATCTAGGGCAAAGACGAGCAGCACGAACGCCCGGCCCTGGCGCTGGCCGGCCACCACCAGGTAGCGCCGCATAAGCTCCCTACGCACAAATCCAGGAAGGTAGTCCCCGGATCCGATCTTGGAGACCACGGATCTGACCCGTTGCTGGCCACTCCGGCCGTCGGCCACCATGCTGCACGCTGGGTCTAGAGCTGGGGTGGGCCACCACAGCTCGACCGCATCCACAGCTCTCCCGTTCGCCAGCTGCGCGCCGAATTCGGGGCTGGGGTCACCAGGACTGGGCCATTGCAGGTCGACCGCGTCCACCACCAAGTAGCTGCACCCCAGAACGGCACGCGCACGGACCGCCACCACCATGGAACCAGAGCCAGCTCGGAGTCGCCTTGCCACAACTGAAAGGTTCTTG